TGAATTGCAAAATGAAGTCCAATTGAATTTTGAGCGTTTGACGAAAACCTTTCACTCCTGTCTCGAAGAAGGTGCGAGCGGTCCAGCACATACCGTCGCTCCTCTGAAGTAAAGGCGTATCTTTATTTGCGAATGAGCCCTGTTCTCCATATAACTTCATGCTTTTTGGGGTTCATTTGAAAAAAGAGAACGTCCTTATGTTGGAGTAGCGCGAATTCTCCCATTTAAACAAGGTAAAAGTTCATTTTTTGTCACAGTTCGTTCTGAAGACCTACCACGCGGAGGCCGATTTTCATGATTTTTGCGGCTATCGATAGGCGATACTGTCATGCCAAGGAAAAACGCTTCACCCTTTGAAACGTTGCCAAACCTCCTTTGACAAATCTTGAATTTTCCGGAAAATTCGCATAAACTTTTTCTCCAAATTTTCAGTGAATTTCGTTCGCAATTTGACCTATTGTGCCCAGAAACGTCAATGACGTCAAACGTCATTATGCATATCATCCTCAAAAAAAATCTGAGAGTAAATCTGGCAACATTCGAATGATCTTACGGCATTTTCCCCTAGCACAGCAAAATAGTTCCGAAATGAGCCCGCGGTCTTTAGATAACCCACCGTAGTCTGAGAGAGCGTGCGAAAGCGCGAAGCGCTTTTCTAGGGGTTGGACCGCGTATCGGCGAGGGGTCGTGCCCCCTAGTTTTTTTCAGATTTTTCACAGCTTTGTGAAATTTCATGAGATACCTATTTCACGGAAATGTCCGATCTTTCGTGCAACTCTGCCCCCGGCGAATACCTATTTTCCATTTCCCCCTTTCGATACCACGCTCTCTCTGCTCTCGGCGGGGCAGAATATTTCCCGGAAGTACGAAATCTTCCTCCCGTCCCGCCTCGCGGCACCTGAGCGGTGACGAGGCGATAACCCGAGCGGCAACCATGTTTGACCTTGTCGATGTCAAAAGCAGCAGCGGCGGCGGCAGAGCGCACAGCGCACTTTTTTGTCGTGCGCCGGGCCGGGGCTCGCGAGTCGTGCCCCGGGGGGCGNGGGGGGGGCACCGCGCCGCCGCCGCGCTCTCTGTTGGCAACGCTAACGGTTCAAAACAGAAACCCTGACCGCCATTAATGTAGAGCCAAGGTCATTGACTCCTCGACCGAGGCAACGAACCGATTCAGCTACGGCTGCGGCGATCGACACCGACCGACGTGGACCAACTCCGACACCGACCGACGTGGACCAACTCCGACACCGACGCCGACGCCGCACTCCCGTGTTATCCAAGAGAGCGGTGAGTCAGTGCAAAAATGAGGTTTGTCGATCGATTTTCGAGTGTTGTCGATCGCCTCACGGGTTTATCGATCAACTCATGGATTATGTCGATCGATTCACGGGTCTCTTGATCGATTTAGGAGTTTGTCGATCATTTCGCAGATTTGTCGATCGATTCGTGGATTTTATCGACTGATTTCCTGATCTGTCCATCGATTCACTGGTTTGTCGATCAATTCACTGATTTGTCGATCGATTCACTGATTTGTCAATCGATTTTCGAGTTTGTCGACCGATTCCCGGGTTTTGTCGATCGATTCACTGATTTGTCGATCGATTCACTGATTTGTCGATCGATTCACTGATTTGTCGATCGATTCACTGATTTGTCGATCGATTCTCGGGTTTTGTCGATCAATTTACGGGTTTGTCGGCCGATTCACGAAGTTTTCGATCGACTCTCGGATTTCATCGTTGCACGTCGCAAAGTTCCTGTCATACTTTTTTTTCTTCAGAAAATTAGTCAACGTAATCTCTTGACCACTTCCTGGATTTTTCTTCTGTGAAAGCAGAATATTAGATTTTTCATTTCAAGCTATGAAGTTTGCATTTTTCTCTTCGTAGAAATAAAACAGGAGCGAACATTTTGGAACATTGCAATGGAGATACGAGATTTTGCACTTTGATCATCGGAAGGTCTAACCTTGAGGTCAGGATGACCACAGTTAAGGAAAATATTTGAGTTAGTTAGGGGAAATATTTGAGTTAGTGGTAACCGGGGAAAAAAAACAAAATTACCCCAAAGTTGGAAAAATATTGAGTCCACTGTTACACGGACCGGAGAAAATACATTTTATGACGATAAAACCTAGAGAAAAACTTTTCGCGGTTCATCTGAATAATTTATCGATGATGTCTTCATTGCTTCCAATGGCTCTAAGGAGGGGAAAAATAAAGAGGGCCCGGCCCTGCATGTACACGCTTCGCAGGAAAATATATCAGGAAATAAAAGCAGAGTGAGCCATTCAAAAAAAGGAGGATACTAAGCAGTGTTTGGAAACACAACTGAAGTCTGAACGCATGGAGCTCCTTCAACCTTAAATGATACTTCCTAGCGCGACAGCCACGTTCGAATAGTTGTATCATTGCTCATGTTCTGATATCGTGTCGGTAACGGTCTTTCAAAGGATCCGAGCGCAGGTCATTCTACCTACAAGGGGAACTTACGGACCTGCCGCCTCCGATTGGGCTGAATTTTTTTTTACAGACTCTATGGACCAATTCTAGAGGTCAATTTGAGCCGTTTTCCCGAATGCGCAATAGGAAGGGCGTAAAAAATTCCCAAAAGTTGCGTTTTCGGCGTGTGATTTGGTCGTGCGGCGCGTGGCAACACGGAAGCAGCCTCTAGTACCGCTTTATCGGCCTGCAGGTTTCAGCGGAGTTCGGAGCCCTACTGCACACGTACTGGTTCCATGATAGTGATGTCCCGGGTTCGATCCTCGACTTTTTATTTTCCGCATGATCACGTAACATTTTATTTTTAATTCTTCATCCGCATTTATAAATCAAGCGGTTCCGATCACTATCCCCCCCTCCCTCATTGTACGTACATTTTCCCCCGATATTTATTCACATTGGCCACATATAATCGTATGAAACTTCATTGATATAAATTAATGAATTAAAAAGCAAAAGAAAACCTTATTTGTTACTACATTATCTTCAAATGTTTTCCTGGAAAAATATGTAATGTGTAAATAAATCGAAGAGCAACCCCAAACCTATGTGCATGCAAGGGTCACCAAGAAACACATTATTTTAGCCCTTTGCTTTTTAATTCATTAATTTATATCAATGAAGTTTCATACGATTATATGTGGCCAATGTGAATAAATATCGGGGGAAAATGTACGTACAATGAGGGAGGGGGGGATAGTGATCGGAACCGCTTGATTTATAAATGCGGATGAAGAATTAAAAATAAAATGTTACGTGATCATGCGGAAAATAAAAAGTCAAGGATCGAACCCGGGACATCACTATCATGGAACCAGTACGTGTGCAGTAGGGCTCCGAACTCCGCTGAAACCTGCAGGCCGATAAAGCGGTACTAGAGGCTGCTTCAGTGTTGCCACGCGCCGCACGACCAAATCACACGCCGAAAACGCAACTTTTGGGAATTTTTTACGCCCTTCCTATTGCGCATTCGGGAAAACGGCTCAAATTGACCTCTAGAATTGGTCCATAGAGTCTGTAAAAAAAAATTCAGCCCAATCGGAGGCGGCAGGTCCGTAAGTTCCCCTTGCTAGTCAGTATAACATGCTCATTAAAATGCAATCTCGCTCGTCCTAAATTGAGGAGCTTTGTTTACATTGCCCGGCTCTAGGGAAAAGAGAATCGAAAATAAACAAAAAGATAGAAAAAAGAAAATGAAGAAATAAGAAGTACGGAGGGAGAAAACAGAAAAAGGGAAAATTGGAATCAACCGGCCAAAAATCATTAAAGAATAGGAAATGTTTTTACTTCATCATGTTATTCAGTCCCCCTCCCACTCCAAAAAAAACCCAGTACTTGGCACATGGGTATTTTCGGTCCTTTAAGTACAGCATGAACGTTTCTTAAGTTCGGAGTTGGGCTTTTTGAAAACAAACAAACTTGAGCCTATCTTTCCAAATCAATTCGGGAAAAGAAGTTTGGAAGGAAATCAAAGATGCGTGAAATATTAAATACTGCTTTTTCGCAATAATCCTAATCTTCTCTGATTTCGGCACTTTTCGCAGCAAATTATTCAATTCAACCACCCACTCGTACACAAATACCTCGTGACATATGTGTAGGCCACCACATACGACATACATCGTGTGAAATACGAGAGTCTCGAGTATTTTTGATCGCAGGAAGTTAGGGTTGTTAGCAAGAATTTAAATTTTTTAAAGAATTTTTTTTGGGAAATAAATCCCGAGCTTCCATCCAGCGAACTTCAAACTTGAGAGTCCCAGAGCCCCCCCCCCCCNCTGGCCACCAGTTCAACGTTTCCTAAGGGACTTTAAATAATTTTCCCTAATGGGCAGACACTTTACAATGCATAACTGCCCAATCCTCATTGATTGTATCTTTGACTGACCTGTGATCTCTTACGCGTGAAGTATTTCGTCACCTATCACGTACCTCGTAAATAATTCATCGAATGCAGAGTGCAATACGTTTTTGAATGAATCCTTGCGATTCACTTAATCGCAGTTAATGGCATCCTCAACCAATAATCGTCTAACCTCTCCACGAATACACTTGTAAATAAACACTTTCTGACGGTTGAAAACTAAATTTTAATTTCACATATAGAGCTGTTCATTCCCTCATGATTCCGGCTTTTGACTTTTGAAGAAAGTAAGGACTCCGAAACATGAATATAAAAAATGAAACCGAAACTTAAGCAATGATACAACTATTCGAACGTGGTTGCCACGCTAGGAAGTATCATTCAAGACTGAAGGAGCTCCACGCGTCCAGACCTCAGTTTTTTTTTCAAACGCTGTCTTGTGTCCTCTTGTTTTGAAAGTTCACTTCTGGTCCGATTACGCATGGGAGGTGATTGACCATTCTTTTGATTGCCCGCAAAATTTTTCCGCAAGTCAACAGGTATGCCAAGATTGCAACCTCTCTTTGTCTCTGGCTATCATGGACCTCGTTAATGATACTCGTTTTACATAAGTATGTTTTTCTTTTCTGTTACAGTAACGATGGAAGTGGAAAGCCGGGAACCTTTGAAGGGAGACAACCACAGGCGGAGCAAGGCGAGCTTGGAATAGACCTCAACGGTGGAACCTGACCCGCGGATCGGTGATCGACCCTTCGTAGCGGACCACGAGTCGAAGCGGCCGCCGGCAAGTGCGGAGCCCGGATCCTCAGACTGGCCGAGCAGGGGATGATAACCAAAAAGAAAAGGAGGAAATCGCGGAATCGGGGAAACGAGACACGTCGGGGATGAATGCCCAAGTTGGAAGTTTCGATCCGCTCCAATGCTCCAAAATCGCCGCAGATCCTACGTGTGATTTCAGTGTAGTGTAGTTACAGGAGTTTCGTGCCTTGAGAAGTGCCGCGTCGTCGTGTGACTTTGCGATCGTGGAACTTTAGCGATTTTTCGTGGAACTTTTTGCTCGGGGGCTGTGATGCGCGTCCGGTAGTGAATGGTTTGGGGGAAGTACGCCCCCCGCTGCGAGGGGCCCGGCGGCAGCGAGCCGGTGAAAATGTCGGGATGGGCCGGGCGCGGCGCGCACAGTGTCGTGTCCTCGGGCAATGTCACCGTCACATCCATCAACGTCTCCAACGATTCACTGCCCGACCCCAACGATAAAGGTCAGTCGAAAACTCACTTCTGTAATATTTTTATTCGTAGTGCTTTGGACCTGTTGTTCAGTTTCGAAAAAATTTGAACGTATGTAGTGCGCTCTCAGAACATGTTTAGCTTGAGAAGTTTCCTGTTTCCTCATTATCTAGAAACTGAACAACAGGTTATGGGCCCAGTTCTTGTATTTGAATTACAGAAATTAAAAATAACAACAGGATCGGGGAAAAGCGGCATTCTTCAGGGGACAATCTGAAAAATCAAAGAATCAGTTCCAGAAACCGGGAGTCTCCTCTTCTACCGCTCAGAGACCATTTTAAGGCGATTCTATACGATCCAAGGACGAGATTCGCCACCACGTCGTCGCGCTGCTACGCGGTTTGTGTCTTTGAGAAGTAATGATTATCGTTACGGACAAAATTATACAAGAACGCTATCCATGACGTGTTGCAGTATTACTACTGGATAGAATGGCATCAACTTTGTGGAGATTCATGGAAAATCTATATCGGAAACAACCACCTCAGCCGCCCATTGACTGAATGTGTAAGAGGGAGTTATTATCACGCTATCTCTCTCTTGCACATCGCGTCAATTGGCGACGTCCGTTATGGGAGTTTCAGATGTACCAATATTTTCAAAAAATCTACACAAAGTTGATGTCATTCTACCCACCAGTAATGCTGCTACACGTTAGGGGTCAGTTTCTTGCATTATCTTGTACATTACGATAATTATTGCTTTTAAGAACACCAACCGTGAACAAGCGCAACGTGGCGGCGGATCTCTTCCCTAGATCAGGTAGAATCACTTTAAGGTTTATTTTACTTCACCTGAGCCGGCATTATTGACCTCTCGAATCTTCAAATCGTCAGAATAAAAGAAAGGCTCTCATTGACCAGATATATAAACATCAAAAACGCCTCTGGTGTTTTTAATTCTAATGTGGGTAAAAGAATCGGCTGAAAGACGAAAAAAATCCATATTCACATCTGAAACCCTGGAGAATTATATAGGTAATCTTAGAAAAATCCTGGGGAATAGGGAAAAAACTTTGGTTTATCATTAAGGAATGCATTCGAAAAATAGGGAATGAGCACGGTGAAGAATTCTAGACACCATGTTTTGATTTTTTTTTCCGTGCCCAGGAAGAACGCCGTACGAGCCTTCAGACGTTGTAAATAGTCCTTAGATAAATTACGAATTTACAGGGAAATCTATGAATATTTGTCCCTCGATTTTTTTTAAAGAATTTGAGTTGTATTCAGATCTAAATTAGGTGTCTGAAAATATCAAGAGAAAACATTCATAACTCTTCTTTGACAGTAGACATTTTATTGGAGGAAATTTGGAGATTCTCAAATGCTTATACAGCGTCTTCCCTTATGGCGTCAGTATCAATATTCGAGCATGGTACAATGATGGCAACTGTTCGTGGTGCCCAGACATCCGTGTTGCATAAGTACTAAAAATTGAAGGCGCTCCGGTCATTCTAGCTTACGAATGAGCAGTGCTTGCTGCGCAGCGCTGCGACACGTTGTTACGACCCCGTGCGGCGATGGAGTAAAATAACCTCAGAGTGGCTAGCAACCGGGAAAAGTCAGGGAATATCGTCATCGGTCAGGGAATTTTTTGTGGAGTCGGATTTCACGTGAAAATCGGGTCCGTTGACTACATTACTTAAGTGCCCTTACGTTATCGTAAAAAGTCAGAGAACCTCACTAGAAGTCAGGGAAAAGTCAGACAATGATAAAATGAAATTCTGCTAGCCACCCTGTGTCCTGATTTTTGAAATTGGTGCGAAAATATCCTTTCCTGTCCTCTTGCTTTATTCTTTATCAGAGAAACTCCATCTTGCCACACACTCGCACCGGCGCGCTGCATTATGGACTGGAGAGCGCCTTCCATTTTTTCATATGCAACATGCACGTCCATAGAGTGCGAATAGTTGTATCAAGGAGTTATTATCAACATTATTGGACAACGCCCTGAACAGCTTGGTAGCGGTAGCGAACCCTGAGTCGAAAATCTCGGTTCCAATTACCAAGTCTCAAGATGTGCGGCTATTGCTGAAAAAGTTTTTGACTGTGTTCTGTCCGAGTTATTGGGTCCTGTGAATTTTTGCTGAGGAGCAAAATTTTCCTCTATTGCGGATTCACTACTGGAAAAAGAGGGATTTTCCAATGTACCAAGCAGTTTTATATACCAGACTCCAAAGAAATCTGGGATTTGTCGATGGTACCAAATTCAATTCGCGACGTTGCGAATCTCCTGTCTCATTTTACTTCCCTACAAGAGGTTCGATTATTGTTTTAGCACACAATTTCGAACGATTTTTCTTTATTCGTTGAATAGTAGTCCCTGAAAAATTGGTGGAAAAAACCCAGCAGGATTCTCTTTTTAAAGGGGTACCTAAATAGGTAAAGAGGGAAATTTTGAAATACAGCAATCGAGATCCATCGTTTCGTAATTTCACCATCGATATTGACTCAATTTGAAACAAAGTTGGTCCTCAAATTTTTTATGTTTCAATTTATGCCCTTCCCTTAAAATCAGAATATTCAACCCTTTACCACCTGAGGTTCATCTTTAAAGGCTTTGAAAGCATTATTTTGTGGTTGTGAATTATGCACGTATTCTAGGGTATTTACAAGTCCGTAAAGTCCGGAAATGATGCTGATTTTTTAAGGACGGCCCGGAAGTACTGAAAAATGCGGAAAGTCCACAAGAAGGTCCGGAACTTTTTCCATTTTTTTGTCATTTTTGTCGCAATTTGAGGGGAAAATCCAAATTTTTGAAATTTTTCGATTCTCGTGAAATGGAGGTACTGAAATTCTTGGGAATTAACTGGAAAAGTACTGTATCAGCACTGATTTTTAGTCAGCCTGTTTTAGTAGACACCCTGTCCTCGTAATTGCTGACTCGCAGTGGAAGGAAACAGCCTAAACGGCTTTTCTTGCGGCGCGCGGTGTGGGGCCAGCGTTGAGTGAAACACTGTTCAAACGGTCACACGGTGTGTGGAGCAGGGGTACTGAAAATGGGGAATCGCTGAGTCCGAAGTTGGGGGGTCCTATTGTTGCTCCGCGACTCCGTCGGGTAAAATTAGAAAAGCTTCCTAAAAATGAGGAAAACTGCGACAAAGGAAGCTCTCAGCGCTTTTTACCCCCACTTGTCCCTCGTCATTCGCGAGGGTTCCGTTCCGCTAAAACATCGCGAATATCGAGACCTCACGCTTATGGGAAAACAGGGGTCCGGGTGCCGGTGCGGGGGAAAATTTATGAAATTGTGCAGAATAACGTTGCGCGCTTCGGCGAATCCACTTCTTCCCACGGGCTGATTTTTGAAATTTATAGACAAAGACGGCACACTGAAAATAAAGGTATTCTATCTGTGGAAGCGGGCGGTTGCAATGGACGAAGGAGGTAAGTGAGGGACTAACCAACGGCAACTCGCTAGAGACCCTTTAGTTAGTACATTATTTCCCCCTCAGTCTATGATACACCCGTTTCAAACAGTAGGATCGCTTTATGTACCCTATGTCTTCTTTGTCTATCGCCTTGACTATTAATTTCAATCATCAGTCTGAATCGCTCCGTGTTTCCCTAAGTATGTCTTCTTTGTCTATCGCTTTGACTATTAATTTCAAAAATAAGTCTGCACTGCATCCTGGATTTTTTTTGATTGAGACATCTTTACTGTTTTTCTTTTGAATTTGGGAATATTTTAATGAGAAATTTTGAGACTCACAATTTTGGAGCTTAGAATAACATGTCGACGGTCATTCGCAAGTTTCGCGTATTCGCGAATCGTTTTCTTCGCAAGTTTCGCGTATTCGCGAATCGTTTTCTTCGCAAGTTTCGCGTATTCGCGAATCGTTTTCTTCGCAAGTTCCGCGTATTCGCGAATCGTTTTCTTCGCAAGTTTCGCGTATTCGCGAATCGTTTTCTTCGCAAGTTACGCGTATTCGCGAATCGTTTTCTTCGTAAGTTAGAAAACTCGATCGCGAGGTTTTTTACTTTGTATTTTTCTTGATGCTGCATTGTTACAGTATACAGGCGGTGTGAGTCCGCAACTACATATCCCGTTTGCGGTGTTCGAAAATCTATTAATTTTAACTTTTGTAAGGAGATTAGATTGACATCATTTCTTGTAGTTTTCGCAAATTTTTTTGTGCGCAGAAAAGAAAAATTACAGCAGTTTTTAAGGATTGATGTTGAGTAGTGTGCCATTTAAAAAATGAAGTATGACAGGAAGTCTGCAACGTCGCAAACCAAGATACATGGTTGCGGACTTACACCTTCTGTATTTATTTCTCTGGCAACGAAGCATCACGAAAAATACAAAGTAAAAAAACCTCGTGATCGAGTTTTCTAACCTGCGAAGAGATAACGATTCGCGAATACGCGAAACTCGCGAATGGCGAAAGGTCTCTATTTCCAACTCGCGGATAATGAATTTAATTCGCGAACATGAAGGGACCACTATACCGGTGCTTTGCTACAAAGAGCATGTACCTAGTTTGCTCTAATGTGATCGTACAAATTTTACTGAGCATACTCTCATTTCACGCGGGGTTTGTGACAACTCGCCTGCTTCCATGAGGTGGAATATTACTTATGAATTAATATTAAGGCTTCACAAGTCGATTGTGTATGTAAATGCATTTTCAAGACAAATCTAGAGGTAGACGTTTTGTTTTTTCATGTGTGCATCTATGTGAACTTACAAGTCGTGCTTTTTATTGTCACAGGTATCAAGCATGAAGAGAACAAGTGCAGTGTGCTGGTCTCGCCACTGGCTCTTGCTGAGGAAGACGAGGGTTCCGCCTCTGACTCAGAAATCAGCAGAATTGATTTTTCAGGTAAGAAATCACTAACTATTATTGTTCCAAACAGGGTGTCCTTGATTGTGAGCTAAAGATTTAAACTTGGGGGATGCTCCCAAGTCGAAGGGAGCTACTCTTTGGTCCCCCTAAGATGTTCAGGAAGGTCCGGGGGGGGGGGGGGGGCAACTTTTTTTTTTTTTCAAATGGAAAGACCCTCCTTGTGATACACTGTTCGAATGAACAGGAAAACAGAAAAATTTGTGCGCAAACCCGAGGTCTTCATCTCAATTAGGTAAAAAGTTATAAGGGGGGGAGGGCTTTACGGACACCCTGTATAATTTGCCGTGTCAAGGAAGAACGTCGTATGAGCCTTCAGGCATTGCCAAGTATCCTTTAATAAAATACGAATTTTTCCATCCATTTTCCAGCAGAATTCATTCGAAATTTTATTTATAGTCCCTGAAAATCTCCAAGAAAAATAAGCCTAACTTTCCTCAAAATTAAATGTGTTATCTGGGGAAAAGCGGCATTGTTTGAATGTCCATACGGTGCTTTTTCCCCAGCATGGCTGTGATTTTCACATTTAGAGAGGAGACCCCTCTTTAGACTGCTGGAGGATAACTGGGTTGGCATCGCCTAATTATGTGAGAACTGTTTTGTTCCCCTCTAATTTAAATGGGTGGGTTGAAAGATTGCACAGACTGCCTCCTGTAAACTGCGATAAGCGAACCGGGTTTTGCTTGGACCAATTTAAATTCAGAAAATCAACTTTTATTTTCACGCCTCTTCCTCCATAATTTGTATGGTTTTTAAATAATCTGCCTTTTTTTTCTATTCTGCTATTTTGGTTTATTTTTTAAACTTTTTTTGTTTCTTGTTTCAAGCAGCAGCCATCATGCGGAACAAGAATAGAGACAATCAAGATGAGTGTGTGGAACGGCCAATGTCGTGGGAAGGAGAACTCTCTGACTCGGAGATGGATACTGTTAAAAAAGTATGTGGCTAACGTATTACTTTAAATTTCTTTAATCCCGATTCAAATAAGTTGAATCGTTATATATGTTATCTGTTTGCAACGATAGGAGTTCAGTATCTGTGCAAGTTGATGGAAAAACAGGGGTACAGAATTTATTTTCCTGTCTTAATAATCTGAGAAGATGATGTAATGTTTATGAAATTACAGTTTCCTAAGTTTTCATTTTTGATGACCTTCTAAGAAGGCAGTCTTCACAATCATCGACTTTTTTGCCGGGAAGTGTTCAAAATTGGTCACTTTTTTGTGAAAGTGTCACCACAATAGATTATATCTGCTTGAAGAAGTGTACACAAGCAGTGGCATTTTCTTACCCAAAAGATTTGTCAGAAAGAAAGAAAAAATTAAATTAATTATCTACAACCTCTGTTTGAGACAGATTGGTCCCATGATCCTGTTCTTTCAGCACAATCGAAAAAAGATGAACTTATGTGAAAGGTGTTCCAAGTACATGCACAATCCCTGATAGATTCATGGCAAAATTGTGTTTTGGCCTTAGTGCAGGAGTGAAATGAAACTGATTAAAAGTTTAGATTCTCTGAACTGCAATTATTGAATCACAGACTTGCCAGGAAGGACTAAAAACAAGTTTCCAGCCCACCCTTGGAAACAGTTAGAACTTTTGGGGGGTACTATTTCTGATTTACGAAATATAGTTGGAAATATTGATGTTAAAACTAGTGAGAATATTAAATTTTTGTGAGAAATCATGCTCAATCTCTCATTGGGCTCAGAAGGACTTAAGTTGGCCCCAGATTTTGGGGATCTAGAATCCAGTCCCTTCAGAACATTATAGAGTAGCAGTTCATTCGTCAAAATTCTGTGAATCCATGTCCATTTAATGATCTGAAAAAATAATTTTTTAGGAATAACTAGGAATCAACTGTATCAATATGAAGAAATCATTGATCTCCTGACATAAGGGCGCAACTACATTCTGCAATTAACCCTGTCTTCAATAAAATGTAACGCTTTTTCGGACGGTGCATACCTTCAACATAGTTTCTTATTTCCAGCCTTTTATTTAAATCTTGAATGTTTCAGGAACCAGCTGATGTTGATAAGACGACACAGAGAATGCAAGTGTGTAATGACGTAAATACAAGTGATGATGGGAAACCTCCACCCTTGAAATTTACGTCTGAATCCATGGTGAATAAGGTGCTAGAACAAGTGAGGGCCAGTAAATTATCAAATCCTCAAACGGAACTGCCATTACTTGTTGAAAAAGTGTTAGGTGGGTATTTTAATTTCTTTACACTGATAATGAGTCAATTTTTTAAGTAGAAATGCTGATTTATTTGCTATATCAAACGTTTTAGTTGCATGATGTTGCGCAACATTCCTATTTTTTTTGTGCTTTTCATTCAATTTTTTTTGTTTTTTTCCCAAAGAAGGCAATAATGTTATGAAATTTTGTTGCATTGCAATCAGAAATTGCTTTGAGCAGGTTCCTATAAGAGGGAAAACAAAGCACTGTTTTATATTTCATCTTATCATTTTAGTCTCTGTATTTCAAAACAAATTAATACACATTGCCTATTATCAAATTTGGATCAGTTTTCAAAGCACTTTGATTCGCATCTGAACTTTGATTCTCCACAACAAACAAGCTTTAGATAATTTTTGTTTGGAGGAGAGGGTGAGGGTGAATCTAGTGAGACGCACTGTAAACTGTTAGCTCATTGTCTATGAAGAAAATTCATGTTGAGAGAATCCCTTAAATACAACAAAGCAGGAATACTGACAAAGTGTCTATGTCAGCTGTCAACATAGTGTCAGAGAAGACTTCGGAGAAAAATATGATGAACCGACATGACTACACTGCGTAATAATGCTAAGAATCAGTGGTTTTATGATTGTTTTATGCGTAAATTTATCTTTACTTTTTGCTTTGTTACAGGGAATAACTACAGCAGACTGTGCAATCCCAGTCCAGACTCAGCAATACATTCTTTTTACTCGCCAACCCAGTCGCCAGTTACAAGCCGGCATGGTCTTTCATCGTCCCCATGTACATTTACACCATCCCTCTCTAGAAATAATAGTGATGCATCACAGTATGATGGCTCGCAACATAGTTCTTGTTATAGTTACAGGTACGTAAATAATGTTGGAATAATTTTGACTGTCCTAAAGAGCAGGAACTTGAGAGCCAATTTTATCAAGTCAGGCGTAAAAATCAAAACTAGGGTCTTTGAGGAGAAACACTTCTTACCATCCTAAAAAACAAGTCATAAATAGTTAAGCTCATTTTCCGACCGTAAGAGGGTGTAAAGTTATAAATTGATCGAAAATTTTTGAACCCCCACATTACCGAATGGAAACTTTTAGTCATTTGTTTCCAGAACTACAGCCCATGAATGGCAAGTTTAAGACTATTATCATTACTTTGATTCACTTTGGCATTTTTCGGCGGCTTTTAAGCCAAAATATTCAAAATCAATTTCTCAAAGAAGATACTACTAATTTCTGTGCTCTGAGTTTTTGCCACCAAGAGCTCCTCCTAATTAGATTTAGCCTAATTAGATTTGTTCCCCTTCAATAACATCCAATTCTGCTGAGGAAATTGAAAAAAATAATAATCGTAAGCATACTGGACAACCTGATTATGTAAGCAACCGTGTTCGAAACTACCCTTGAGTTTTAGGAGCCATGTGGCGCATCAAACCCGATTTTTAAGTGCTATTGAAGATTTCTTAGGGGCCAAATTGACTTTTTGCCTTTATATTACGCCGCATTTTGTGAAAAGAAAGACGCAAGATGTTTTCATAATAGAACTAGTAAGTAACTGTAACGCGCTCAACATGGCGCAACTGCTCACTTTTCGCGAGTTCAATCCGGTGCAGTGCGTCGAAATTTGGAATAATCACCTAAAATGAAAGCACAGACTAGGGGCCACGTTGGCGCAGAGCCTTCATTTTTTAGGCGCCATGGCCGATTTTTTAGGCGCGTTGGCGCCTGTGAGTTTCGAACACTGGTGAGCAGACTGTTTGAGAACACAAAAAGAGTGATTGAGCATATGAAGAGACTAGCTAAGGAGATGAGCAGAATGTTGAGGCACAAAAAAAGAAACGTTAGTTTCATTTTAAAGTAGCCGAGAATTTCTGGAAGTCTTACATGCTGATGTATTCCAGACTTTCATTTTCTTATCATACGTTCTTCTCTCTCAGTTTAACTCTCTTTATTATGTCAATTAATGAAAAATTTGTTTCTTTGTCTCTTTTGGTTTAGTTATTCATCTGTCTCTGTATCACCCACTCAATTTTCGCCAACACATTCTCCAATTCAAAGGAGACACTCACAACATTCATCACGATCTCTGCCGGAATACTCTCCAGGTAATTTATTTTCTGCTTTATCAGTGACCACTTTGGGAGGGCTCCAGAAGAAGAGCCCATAAACGTCCAGGTGTGCTTATCTCTCCAAGCAGGGGCTACTACAGACAAACAGCAGTATAGCTAACACCATCGCTATCTGTGTGTTCAGACAATACAGATAAAAGAAATGAACTCGCTCATGTTTTATGGAGCCTTCTTTTGGAATCCTTCTCAATTCCTCTCATGATTCTGCAACTCTACTTTTCAAAGGGTCAAATATTTAAGCTCTCTTTTTAATTTTTATTTTGATCAATTGTTTATCTTTCAAAATGTTAATGACGTACAACTCGCTGTATAAATTTTTGGTCTTTTCTCCTTTCATAGTCAACAAGACAGGTTATCTAGATGATAGAAATTTATCTGCACATAATTCTTATGACTCCAAACTTTTATCTGAATTTAAAAACCCGTGTTTTTACAAATGGGAACCGTACAATTTTTTTATTTTTTCATTTGTTTATTGTAAAAAATTTGCATGTCTTTGACATCCTTACCCTTTCTTTTTGTGGACTCTTTAGGGTATTCAAAACAATTTTTCCAATATTTTTCCTCAGAAGTTGTGAAACTCAACGGATCAAATCTGCCAATTAAAAAAATTTAAAAGGAGGGAATGTGCCAAAGAAAGGACTGGCATTAAATTCTTTAATGTGCAAAAAATGTGCTCATTATGTTTGTGTGTGTGTCTAACTCATTCATCTGTACCTCCTGTCTCAAATAGACTCATATTTTATCCAACTATTAGTACAAACGGTTCATACAAGCCGTACGAGCTCTTGATTCTTTCCTAGATTATCAGAGGCGTTGGATCCATAAGGCTTGACTTTTAATTCACGCATATTTTGGTTTTGTTTACAGATGAAGGTGGATTGCAGGATATTTCAGAAGGAGGGCATTCAACATTGTCAGTTGCTTCTGGAATATCTCGGCAACAATTAATTAACAGGTAAGCACTAAGCGTTATAATTTATTGCCTCTGCTAATTTCCACTCAAAATTTGCAATACTTACACTTTAACCTCTGTCTTGAATCTTTGTTGATTTTCGATACTATTTTGCAACGCCCAAGGTGCGAAGCGCCTCAGCTGTGTTACACCGTGAAGCGATCATGGAGCATACTGCTGTCCAAAGCAAAAACACTGTGAATCCATTCCAGATTTTAAAATCCTTTTTCAGACAAAATGCTCCATTACAAGAAAACCTGGCCACCTCCATGCTCCATATTTTCATTTTAACTTCCCAATACTATAACAAAGTTACTCCGAAAGTACCAAGGATGGATGTTTTTAGCCTTTCTTGCTGTGGAACATTTTGTCTGAGAAATTGTGCGGAATCTGGAATGGAAATACACCATTTTTGCGTCGGACAACAGCATAGCTCATTGGTGAAATTGTTAATTTTTTTTCTTCAATGTTCATAAATCAGAGGAAGATGCAACATTGAGGCAATTTCAATTCAAATCACCAACGTCAATAATGGTAAATAATAATGCAAAAAATCAACCATCGAAGCCTTAATGCAAGTCATATAAGCAGCACCATTTCGCACGCAAGGAAGAAACTTCTGTGGATAGCAGGTCTTGCATGGTTTGCCCGCCCAAAATGGGGAGGGCATTTTAAAGGATATCTGGGCTAGGAGACTGGTGCATATAATTGTAAAAATCCAGCAGTGTCTGCAAAATCATGGATAATTGTCAAAAAATAACCAAAGAGTCAAAAGGTTGAAATTTAAAAAAATACAGGTAACTAACTAAAATAAGGAGTTTTTAGCATTGGAAGGCTGAGAACTTTTGGAATTCCTGCTCAAAAGCTTGTTGTACAGGTACAAAGTTTACAATTCTAGGGCTTCTTTAATAAATGTTTGCAAGCTCTTTCACACATTTTTCTTTTTTTTCAGTCCATGTCCTGTCTGCGGTGACAAAATTTCCGGGTTCCACTATGGTATTTTCTCCTGTGAAAGCTGTAAGGGTTTCTTCAAAAGAACTGTTCAAAACCGCAAGAATTACGTTTGCCTTAGAGGATCTTCTTGTCCTGTCACTGTTGCCACTAGGAAAAAATGCCCTGCTTGCCGTTTTGAAAAATGTCTTAACATGGGCATGAAATTAGAAGGTAAATAAATTCACTGAACTCTTTGCCTTCAATTTAGTTATTTTCATATGTAACCATGATGCAGCATGAAAATTCAATTTTCGATAATATATTACACTCCACAGTTTCTTTATTCTCATTTTTCAGTACTTTTAATTCTTTACAATTGAATCGGATCTTGGAAAAACCGCTAATGTCCATTATTCCTGTCTTAAGTTTTTTTGAGTTCACAATACTTTTAAAGAGTCAATAAAACCATCAAAGTGTTGAAAGGACTCATTTTGGGATTAAGGAAACCCAAAGGCGAGTTTTAACGCCACTTTCGTGAGTGCAACCAACTCCGTAAAGTATTATGAACTCCAAAAAACTTAAGACTGGAAAAATGGACATTAGCAGTTTTTGCATGTCAAGATTCAATTGTAGAGTTAGATTTTTTCAAAGAGCATCAAACTTTTAACCATGACATTTTGAGGTTTCACCACAACTGAGTAGCGCACCTCAACAAAACTCAACAAAGGCTGTTTAGTTGCATCATCAATCGAAGTTTGACCTGTGATCAACGTAATCTTGATCCTGATCTAATGTAACCCTGTTTTGTTTCAGCTATTCGTGAAGACAGAACTAGGGGAGGTAGGAGCACGTATCAATGCTCGTACACACTTCCTTCAAGTTTACAGCTGTCAAGTGGTAGTTGTCATTACTCGAGTGACTCGTATCTTGTCAAACAAGAGCAAAGAGAAAGACTCTCGCCACAGCCGTCCTCAAGGTTGATTCCTCCCTTATTGCAAGTAAGTTTCTCTCAATTAAAATTTGTGGTGTGCTTCATCGTAGGTTTCCTTAGAGCTTTGATCAAGTGAGTTGGCTATGTTTTACTCCCAAATGATTGGCGCAGTCCACTGTTTAATATCTGTTATGGATAATGGTGATGTAATACTTGCTTATTATTTTCTGCGATATGACAAAGAGACCAATCTTGCGTACTGAGGGCAAGTTATGATGTGTTTAATCTTGTTGGACGAGTATCTGCCTCAAAAGTTTGATTAGATTTCTGGCGGAAAGATCTGAATTTTTATAGCAAAACAATATTTTTAAACTGAAAATGTCCTTTTTTGAGCATAAATTATATGCTCTCAGGATCATTTTATCGGAAAATATCTCCTCTTGCCAAATTCAGATTCTCCATATTGATGGCCAAAGTGTAAAACCATACATCTCCATTTCGGTGTTCCAAAATTTTCGCCCCCATTTTATTTTTTCAAAGCGAAGCAAATAAACTTTATAGCTTGAAAATACAGAATATATTCTGCTAGCAGAGAAGAAAAATCAAGGAAGTTGTCAAAAAAATATGTTAAGCAGCTTTTCAAAGAAAAAAAGAAGAGAGACTGGGACCCTCCAACGTACGAACAGAGATATAAGGTTTCGCACTTTGGCTATCGATATTTTCAAACATGAAATATTTTCGAAACTTGTTTCATCTTTCCCCCTTAATCCAGCTAATTTGTTTTCATTTCTAAAATTTTTTTTTTTTTTTTTTTTTTTTTTTTTCTATCTGCAATAGGAAATAATGGAAGTTGAGCACCTTTGGCTGTATAATGAAAATGAAAACTCTCACAAAAATGGCAGTCGGTCAAGTAGCTCAGCCTCGTCTGAAGCCAGAGGAAACAATAATGGTGGCCCTGATTTCATCTCAAACCTGTGTCATATCGCAGATGACAGACTCTACAAAATTGTTAAATGGTGTAAATCGCTGCCTCTTTTTAAGAATATTTCTGTAAGTTGAATGTTACCTCTTTTCCTTTTACTTCAGTACTTCTACTTCTACTCAATACTTAAGATTCACTTCCTGTCTTATCTTTCATTTTCATTGGTGGACTTATTGAACCTTTCTCCAAGAAAAGAAAGAAGTTTAGGATACACTGTAAAACTACTCAATGTTTGCAGTGACAGGATTTTCTCCTTCTGGAGAAACAATAATTTTTGCTTTATACACTCTTTGGAAACAAGTTCTTCTTTATTACGCAAGTTTTAAATTATTATCTTTCTTTTGAGAGGGGAAATAACAGTTTTAAACAGAAAAAATTCAATTTGAACTCATTACTTTCAAAGTAATAAGCAACTTTTCCAGACCAGTTTCCGGTCGCCCATTCATCAGATCAGTCACAGTTAGTTGTCACTGATGAAAAGGAAACCTGAAATCGGTTTGGGAAAGTTATTTATGAAAGTGAAAGTTACAAGCTCAAGTTAAATTTGTTGTGTCTAAAAGTACTTTTCTGTTTATATTTTAAAAATGTCTATATCTTTACAAAATTGATGGAGATGTTTTGAAAACTATGAGACTGCAAATTTTAGCAGTTACCTTTGTTAATCTCTTCTGTTTTGAGATGAACAGTAGTTTTTTCCCAGAAAGCACAACCCTTACTTGAAATCTTCAATGATTTTTTTCAGCTTTACATGAAGTTTAATTTTCCTCCAAGAATGATGATGAAATTTTATTTTCATTCAATGCATAGTATAAACTGAAGTTGAATTTTTTTTCCAGAATGATGATCAAATTTCATTGTTAATCAACGCATGGTGCGAACTGTTGCTGTTCAGCTGTTGCTATCGGTCGATAGCAAGTCCCGGTGAGATTCGAGTCTCACTTGGCAAAAGCATCTCTTTGGACAAAGCGAGGGAATTAAAACTAGATCCATGTATTGAAAGAATGTTGACGTTCACGGAACATTTACGCAGATTAAGGGTGGACCGTTATGAGTATGTTGCAATGAAAGTAATTGTCCTCCTGACATCCGGTAAGTCACCTCTTAGTAATTTTAATAAAAATGGTACTAATTAAAAATACTTTTGAGTTACTTCTTAACATACAAAAATGCATCCAAAAATACATTGGAAAATAATAATCACAATTTTCCCAGTAAATTCGATTTTTATTGGAGGAAACTTGGCAATGTCTGAAGGCTCATACGGCGTTCTTCCTTAGCACGCCAGTATACGGAAATATACTAAAAATTGAACATAGTGTTATGCAGAGTAGTAAAAACCTAGCAAGTCCTCTTTTATTCTTGAATTTTTTCTGCTTCCCAAGTCTTAAAATTTGGGAATAACTGCTTGAGCACAGTCGTGTGTAAGCGTGAAAAGATCTGGTTTCCCCCCTTTTTTGCTGAGGGGGGAGGACGTCCAAAATTTCTCAGAAAGTATTATCTGTTTGTTGTCCCCAAACCATTCTATGATGATAATGATGGAAAGAACATTTGTTTTAAAATGAAGAAATTTCTATCTGTAAGATATTTTTTGAGGCCTCCTAAATTTTTTTTTGCTAGTCCTAGAAAGTTCCTTGCTTTAATGAGTCAGAACTCCATAAGAATTCCTAGATTTTGGATCAATAGATTATGTTCTACTGTGTCATCTCATGTGAAACCATCTCTGCACCTTTAGTTCTTCATAGTTAAATCTTCTTTGAATGATCCTATCTAACTCAAACTTCTGTGTTTTTCCTCAGACGAAAGTATTCTCCGTGAACCAGAAAAAGTACGCGCGTCACAGGAAAAAGCGCTACAAGCATTGCAACACTACACCCTAGCGCACTATCCAGACATTCCTTCAAAGTTTGGGGAGCTTTTGTTGCGAATTCCTGAACTCCAAAGAACTTGCCAGGTAAGCACTCTCTTTAGATCAATTGTCAGTAAAATTGATGGACAGAGAATGGAATGAGCTTCTGCATGTAGCGTATATTTTTTATTCAACCGCATGTACGATCTTGTGTAAAACACAGTTGTCCCTCTTATTTTATCTAAGATCAACCACCAAGCTCATGAACAGTTCTTAAATTTGAGGCTGTTACGTATGAGCTAACCTAAACTTTCAGAGAGTCCTCAATTTTTGATCAAATCCTGGATCCGAAGACCTCAGCTGAATCGGTTTCTATTAAACAGATGTATGTCCCAAAAATCATGAGCTGTGGCTTTCGTTGATGACCCAGGACGCTAGAGCTCATGAGTTGTTGGACTTACGCCCGTCTTACAGAAACAGATTCTATCATCCAATGAACAGTGGCAGAAGCCTGAGCTAGATACGGAATGCACGATAGTTGAAAATGCCTGAAAGCTTGCAAAATATGTGTGGAAAAAACAAAGAAAGCAATATAAAAATGAAGAAAATACCAAAAAAGTAATGCGTTTGTGTACGTAGTCGTTACACTAGATTACTGTAGCATTGGATAAGTTTTAAGAGTGGATAATCGAAGTATTACAGTACTTTTGATCGAAAGCTTGTTGAATTTGCATTTTTTGCCGATGTAATCTTGTAAACTTGACTTTTACTTAACAAAATTTGGTGATTCCTTTTCAGGTTGGTAAAGATATGTTATCTATAAAACACAGAGAAGGTGAAGGACCTAGTTTTCATCTGCTCATGGAATTACTTCGCGGTGATCACTAAAAGTGCCACTTGTAAGTTTTTGTTTTTATTCAATACATATTTCCTTTTGAGAGAGTTTTTCTTTCTTCCAATGCTAACAATAGCTGTCCTGGGACTCACATGAAAATGCTGATTCTCTTTGCTGCTGCTGTGCTAGGGAGAAACGCTGTATGAATCTTTGGAAATTGCCAAACTTTCTTCAGCAAAATATTTATTTTCAAGAAATTTTATGAATACTTTTCTTCATAATTTTCAGATATTTTAGATTGAATCGCTAATAAAAGTTTCTGAAAAATGGAACACATTCACGAATTTCCGAGAAACTTCATGTTTTATTAAGCAAAATTTAGCAAAGTCCTAAGGCTCATAGGATGTTATACCTTAACACACCAGTGTGGTGATTGAACTTCCTTTTAAATCAGTGTCTGAAATTTTCATGAAAAGGTCCTAATATTAATTTTTTACCCATGTTAGCATGTTAGGGTGCGTCAAAAAAAATGAAAGTCTGAAATGTTCCGCTCCCCAGGCGGCAATCGATGACGTTTGGTAAAAAAACATGTTTGCCAAAATTTGGGCCAATTTCAACCATTTTAAATGGTGCCAAAGGTCAATTTTGTGACGAAATTATGATATTTTGGTTTAGACCTCGATTTCGTACAAAAAACTCGATTTTACGCTGAAATCGTGCGTTTACGA